GAGAGCGAAGCGGAGGGCCGGCTCCCCGCCCAGCTGCCTCCCTTCCTCCGCCGTGCGGACCAGCAACTCCCCGTCTGTCTGTCGCGGGGAGATAGACTCATCCGCCAGCGTGTCCCACAGGACCCTTGGGATACGGTCCCAAAGACGAGTGTAAGGCGGGCGCAACAGAAACTGTGTAGAGACCCTAGCCATGCTGAAAACAAGGGTTCGGGCCTCCTATCGAACGGCCGGGACCCAACCGCGGCAAACTGCAAACACGACCAACCCTTCCGGATGCCGAGTGCGAGTGGGGCAGGCAGGCGACATGCAGCCCAACAAGACCTAAGAGTCCCCCCCGGAAATCCCCAAAAGAACCACGGAGGGGGGAAGACCCACCCGACGGGGGATTCCCCAAAACCCCCAAGGGGACCACAGGGAGCCCAGCGTCGGCCGCCGCCACTTTCTTCAAACAGTGGCCGATACGGCCCGTCCTTGGGGCAGCCAAATTGCGCAGCCTCCGGTTCGAGGCAAACCGGCAGTCGTGGCGTGTTGAACAGGGGGGAAACCAAGGTGAATGATGAACCCAAAACAAGGGAAACACCCCAACACCTCCCCCCACCCAAGACGGGGCCAGAGGCACCCAAGTCCCGGTGGGGAGAGATCATACGACTCCACATCCAAAAAGTGAGACACGACCTAGCGGCTCTCACCCTTCAAGATCGCCTCCTTTGCCACCGAGTGGATGGCCGCCAGCCCTGACTTCTCCGGGTTGCTCAGGATGACCGACCACAGGGCAGTGGAGACATCCCCCAGGCCATTCGAGGAGCTGAAGCGCATGCGCGGGGTGCTCGCATCTCCAAGGACTAGCCGCTCGTCCCTGGGGGGTCGGCTCCACCCGCTTGTAGAACTCCATCCTGTCCCGGATCCACTGATTATATAGTTGCTCCGGGGGCTCGTCCATCACCAGCTGCAGGCACGTGGCCTTGTCCTTGTGCCATCCCGTAATCTGGAGCAGCCTGGTCCCCCCACGGCTCGCCTTCCAGAAGCCCTTGCAGAACCTGCACATGTAGCCCCCGGTGGTCTTGAACTTCTCCTTGCCCACCACTTCCCATGCGCTGATGCTGGGCAGGACCAGGCCGCACTCCACCGAGGCCCAGAACACGTGCTCGCTTTCCTTCGGGAAGTGCTTGTTGATGTACTTCCGGCCCGCGACCGCCGTGACCGTGGACGTGGTGACGCCTGGTGCCCTGGTCCGGCGTGCGGAGCGTGGTGTCCGCTCCCGCCAGAATCTTGGCCTTGGGGTCCGATTCCTTGGCCGCCCCGCCCCCGGGGCCAGAGGCAACCAAGGGGGGGGAGCAGCCCAGCTGCCTGATCAGGTCCTGGGAGTAGCCCAGCCGGTCGTACAGGGCCCCCGCCGCCTCCTGCGGGACCGGCTCCACCCAGTCATGGACCACGTTGCAACGCCAGTTGACCTTGATCTCCACCATGGAGGACTTACTCAGGCCCGCCACCAGTTTGGTGTACACCGAGTCGAAAGCCCTCAACGATCACAGCGGAAGTGTGATTCGCTCGTCACAGACCGCCCTGAAACGCAGGGCCTCCTTGCTGTCGTGGACGGGGGCCACTGGGAGCTCCATCACCGGCAATGGGCAATTGACGATGAAGTTCTTGGCTGCCAGAAACGTCCCCATCTCCTTAAAGATGTAGCTCCATTCCGCCTTGCTGCGCGGCTTGGGGATTCCCAGGCTCTCCAGGAAGGGGACCGCCTCCTTCCGCATCTGGAGGATGTTCCCCATCCACTTATCCGAAGTCGAGCCCTCCGCATTGCGGCCCCGTCGCTGCGTCTTCACGACCAGCGGGAATGTGGTCCACGCCGAGTAGATGTACTTGAAGGTGAATCGGTGGGCGTACACCCCTGTCAAGCTCGGCAGGTCCCACGTGCGAGTCTGCCTTGTCCAAAACACGCCATCGCCCTTAGCCCAGAAGATCCCCACCACCTGCTCCGGCGCCGGGCGCTCACCCCGGTTCACCTGCGCTCGGATCTCCAAGGCCGAGTAGATGATCGGGTCGATGTGGTCCCGCTCACACGTGAGTGGGTGGGTCCTGCGCTCCAGGGGGAGGAGGTTTTGTGGCGAGAGCTTGAATTGCTGGTCCGCGCCCTTGGGGATCTCACCGCTGGAGTGCTTCTTCCAGATCCCCCCAAACATCCGTAGCTCCCCTTGGTGCCTCTTCATCGCCCAGAGGAGCAGGGACAGCTTACCCTCCTCCGAGTCCAGGTCCTGCGGTGGCCTTGACTGGTCCCCCCCGGGGCCAGTGGCACCCTTGGGGGGGGCCGGTGTCGCCAGATCGGGCATCTCCTCCAGCAACGCCTCCTGGTTCCACGGGTTCTGTGCCTCTCTGAGCCTCCGGATGTAGGGGACGTACTTCTCCTTGATGTCCCCCACGTTGGGGATGTCTTCGGGGTCATCCAGCTCCAGGGGGCAGAACAGCCCCCTCTCCAGAGCCTGCCTGAGATCATCTGGCCATGCCGACACCTCCAAGGGCTGGAGGGTGTGAAGCATCCATGCCTGGTTGGTGTCCTGGGTGCGCTTGTTCGCCTCCTGCGCCTCCTGAATGGAGCCCATCGCATCAGCCAGTGCCTGGCTGGCGTCGACACCCTTACCCTCCAGGTACGTCTCGCAGCTTGGCCTTGAATCGTGACCTTCCTGAGGGCCCGGGCTCCCTCGTTGGCCACCTCCTCTGCCGGCAGGGCCTGCATGCCCTCCTGGAGAGGCGCCAGGATTGCCATCTCATTGTCCAGCATCTCATCCGTGACCAACTCCTTGTGCCGCCGTCTGGCCGAGGACTCCTCCGGGGTCGGTTCCCGGTGCTCCCTCAAGGCCTTGTGCAGCTCTTCCTTCTTCGTCCACCTGGGGGTGGTAGAGCTGGAAGCTCTGAGCCTCTGCCTCCTGCAGGGACCGCTGCACCTTGACCTTGACCTCCTGGCGCTCCCGGACCTTCAACGCCTCGTCGTCCGCCTCCATGGACAGGATCTCCTGCCGGATGTCCACCCGCCTGTTAAGCGGGACCACGTCAGCCATAGTGATCTCCTCTGCCGTGTCCGTTTTCGGAGGAGCTCTCCCCAGGATCGTGCCGTCCACCAGGTTGCGGTCTGCCCGTGCCCGGGTACCACCGGGGCCAGCGGCACCCAGGCTTCCCCCATCCCGCTGCTGGATCCAGGTCGGCTTGCCCTCCACAATGAGCAGGTTGTACGTCACGCCGTCCGCCTCGTAGGTAGCCGAGGGTGCCTGGAAGGGGACAAACTCCTTGCCCGGGCAGACCCAGCATTGATTGGCTGCCTCCGGCCACCCCGTGCCGCATGCCTTACACATGAATTTGTAGTCCGAGTGGCCGGCATCGAGTCTGTGCATCCGCTGGGTGCCAATGCATGCCTTATTCCGCTGGAACTGTGAGGCCCAGACCTCCTCTTGCCGGATCTGGATCTTCATCGGAACATAGGCCTCCAGGATGCGAACCACCAAGTCCTCCGTGAGATTCTTACCGACAAACTTGTGGAACAGGGAGACCGCCTCCTCCACCGTGACGTCCCTCAGCAACGTGGCCGCCGATGCCGGAAGGACCGGGAAGAGGTCTGGGAGGTCCACTAGCTTGAAATAGCCAGGACGGCCATCCACCGGCACCAGGGAGACCGGTTTGTTAACCAGGGCCGTGGTCTTCTGGGAGGCCGCCACGAAGCCCTTCAGCCTCTTCGTTGGTGGAGTAGCCCGCTCCGTGGTGACCGCATCGCCCATCTCCTTCGTCCTCGGCGGGGCCAGGGGCACCCAGGCCGGGAGTCGGTGTGGAGAAGGCCACACGGAGCCGCTCCAGTGCACTGGAGAGGTCGTTCATCACATCGGTGGCCGATGCCGACGGGGGCGCCTCGGGCTCCTCCAACACCAGGCCAGCCGCCACAGCCGCCTCGCGTGTGCGGACTTCCTGGGCCTCCTGGCTGGCCATCTCCACCTCCTCCGCGGTGAGTGCCTGGTCCTCAATCAACTCGAAGGAAGTTGCCGAAGTTGCCGAGGAGGCCATTGCTGGTTCGGGGTTAGTTCAGAAATGCTTCCCTTCAAATTTTTCACACAAGTTGGGTTCAGAGAACCCAAGAGCAAAGCTTGAGCCAAAATGGCCGGGGCCATTATGGTCAAGCATTTCAAACACAGTTCATGTTTCCACATGCGTTTCAACATTAAATGGTCCATCCCCCAACACCAGAAACTCGAGGAGTGACTGTGCCAAAGCTTGGTTCTTTTCCGCCTCTTCAGCAACGAAAACGGCAAGCCAAGACATTAATCGCGATGGGAAATGAATAAACATCCGTTGTAGACAAGGCCAGACTTCCTCCCACCCCAGTACCATCCTCGCAACTATTTTCTGTCGCGTTGAGAGGGGGATTTGTTTGATCCAATTTTGGGGAGACCCAAGGGCCCACACCGCAGCAAAGCAAAGTAGAACTTTGGCAAGACTGCTACCCTGCTTGAAAATGAAGGAACCCCAACTCAGATGCCCAGTAGATTTCCACGGGGACAAAAAAGGCGCCTCTTTTTTGGGTGTGCAGAGTTCAAAGGGAAACCCAAAACCAACCAAAAAATACCATGGGGTGGAATCCACTGGTTGCCAAACAAAAGCAACATGGTGAGCTCGGTCTGGCAATGAGAGGTGTATCCCCGGAAACACGTCAACTCCCGTCACCCAAAACCGCCCACTCGTTGCATGTTATTCAATCGCTCGTGTTGCGTGAGCAAAAACCAGCAGGAAACTCTTAGCCCTTCACCCCAGACCCAACCAGGAAGGGTTCGGAAGGGAGGTGGGTGGGATCCAAAAAATTGGCCCATGAAGGCAAAATTACAGTCAACAAAAACTGCGATATCTCCAACAGTAGCTGATTTGGGCAGAGACCCCAAAGCTTTCAGCTGCTGGGCAAAAAAACAAGAAAGCAGCCCGGATTTGTCTCTCTCTCTCTCTCTCTTTTTTTTCCAAGCTGCCCGTTCTTCTCCACCTGGTTCACGTCCGCGCGGCGCCTAGAGAGGCGTCTTCTCTTCGCGGTCGGGTGGGTGGGCAGGAGACCCGAAGGAACGCATTTCGTCCATTCACAGTATGTGTCCTTTTGATCGGTTGACCCTCTGGTTTTTGATGTTTTTCGTTTATCCGAAGGAAGATTGTGGTTTCCCTCAGCCTTTCCCCCCAACCAACACAGGTTGTGCTTGACTCACTTCCTGAGTGGATGGGCCAAAAGCAGCAACCTACTTGCATCAGAAAAATGGTCTCCCCACTAAGATTCAAGCCCAGGAACTCAGGATCTGTGGTTCAGAGGAGGCGCGGCGCCCATTTGCCGTCGAGTTCGGGTGCTGTCGCTGGCGTCAATTCTCCCGCGATGCGTGACCTTTGAGTCTGCTCTTGCATTTTGTTTGCCGAAAGCCAAAGGAGGGTATTGTTTCCAAAGCCTACGCAACAATGGATACACTCGTTGGGCTTCGCCGATCCGAGCCGAGGAGTAGCCTAAAGACGTTGCGAAGCCCAATGGAAGCGTGGCCGTGGTTTGTTCGCCGCTTCCAAAAACGGCACGGACGACAAGCAAAAGGGGCTCGTTGCGAGAGAAACGTTTGAGTGCACTTCGGATGGCTTCGAAAGGCTTCGACCGCAAAGAAGCCGAGACCAAAAAAAATCGGGCCGTAAGTCTTGGATCCAGGTCACTCCTCAATCCTTTTCTGAGACTAGGGGGTAGGGATGAAGGGAAATCTAGCGGAAGAGGCCCATGTTGAGGTTCACTATGTTGAAACGCGGCCATGTCCAGTGTGATTCTAGTTGTGACAGCGCCATTCATAACGCTGAGCTTTGGAACTGGCTGGCTTTTAAATGAAAGAGACGTGCGAGCACCTGGATGGTCAACCCTCTTGGGACCATCCTGGTTGAACCTGGTGCTTTCTTTGCGGGCCTAAGTAATGAGAGCATGGGGGGGTGTGGGGTGTCATGTAACCGGTGTCATGTCAATGGAACACACGGTCAATATTCATTGTCTCCCCGAATGACAACGGAAATTTGGCTCGTCATGGTAATTTGGTGTGTTCCGAATATCATCCTCTTTACAGCAAACATATGTTTACGTCTTAACATGTTGCTACCCCAAAATTATGGTCTTCCTTTAAAGGTTTCCCTTTAAAGACAATCCCAAAAAGGGTAATGTTGACCCCATATGAATCAACCCCAGTTGAAAAATGGGGGGGGGGGTCGGGGAATCAGACCACTTTTGGAGGGGTTGTCACCCCCCTATGAAACTGGGGTTGATTTTGGGGTTGGTATTGCTCACTCCAAAAAGCAACCCAGACAACATCTCAAGGTAGGCCGTACAATGGGACCCCGAAAATTGTGTGTGTGTGTGGTTGATTTCCTGCTGGCTTCCCTTTCTACCACCCCAAAAAGGGTACTTACTCACTCCGAAAAGCAGCAGCCCGTACAGAAATTGGACGGCTCACATATTCCCCCCATATTGGTCGTGTGTCAACACCAATGAGATCCCATTTTGGGGTAGGTGCACCACCCATTTTGGTCTAGTGGGGATTGGGATGTTCACTGGGGGTACGATTTGGGTTTTGACCCATGGCCTATGGCTGTGGGTCAAAATTAAAACACGAGGGGACCACAGGTTTGAGTCCTTGGTTCCATTTGACCCCATCAAACCCCGTACTCCCAGTGATCATCCTAATCCCCACTAAAATAGACCAAAATGGGTGGTGCACCTACTTCAAAATGGTACCATTGGTTCACCCACAGCCCTCGACTTTTCGCCAATTTCGCTCGCCTGATCAGCTGCTTCGCCGCCATGACGTTGCCCCGCACGCAGGCCACCATCAGCGCGGACACGCCTCGCGCGTAGATCGCGCGTTCGCGTGTGGGAAGGTGGCGACAGGGCGCGACGCAACCGGCCCCGTTGTTGGGCTGGTTCTTTTCAAAGGGAAGCCAGAAGGAAAACCGAAGCCATGTTTGGGGCAGCCCTTCGAATATTTTTGTTCGTCAGGAGGATGACATTGGGAAGACTCACCAAATTGCCAAGAGGAGCTAACATGGAGGCTCCCAGAAGGCCTCAGGAGAAATTGGAGCCAAGACTTCTAAAGGTGGAAGCTTCCATGGAATCGCCTAGGCAGAGTAACTTGTTCCAGTTGGAGGTAGAGAATGAATCAAGTGAGAAAAGGCGAAACGTATCTATATGGCGAAGATATGACTTTCCGGACAAAAACAACATGAACAAAGAGGGGGAGGGGGGGGGGGGGCAAATGACGAACATCAGAACCTGGAAGCCGGGACTTTCATTAAAATCACAGGAAAGAGTCCCCTGCACAGCGCGGAAATTCTGGGGAACCGAATCCACAGCCATCCCGCTGCTTCCCCAGACAATTTCAGCAACTGTAAGAACCTTAAACAAGTGCGCCAACAATAAAAAGGCTAGGTCCTCCAGTATAGAGGTTAGAATAAGGGGTATCAACTTTTTTGTGTAGTCTATTTTAGTAGACGAAAACCCTCCCAACCAAAAAAGGGTGAGAAAGGGCACCTAGCTGGACCCCTTTCGAGCAAAAGGCCAAATTTGAGCCCAAAAAGCGTTGCCTTTATATTAGATATGTCTGGGCCCTTCAACAAGCGCGCCACAAAATAACAAAAGAAGGGCTTCCGGTGCCTTGATTTGTTGCGCTTTTGGGCTTGGTGCCGTTTGTGGAGCATAAACTGAGCGTCCATTCCCAGACCGAGCCGACGAGTGAGAGCCCTTTTCTCCCCGCCTTCCTTGCCGATGATGTGGGGGCTCGCCAGCTTCCGCAGCAGCAGCTTCACCACCTCCTCCCGACGGAAAAACCGCGGAACCCAACGGCCACCGTTTAAGGGGACAACAAAGGGAAAAACAGGGTGTGTATATATATATATATATATATATATATATATATATATATATATATATATATATATATATGTGTGTATATATATATACATATGTATATGTGTGCGTGTACGTATAGATATTGTATGTCTCTACATATATGCTGTGGTATTATATACATATATTGAGATATTATATCACATTATATTATGTTGCGGCATGCTTATGTTGTGCTATATTATATTATTGTCACATTATGTGTGTTCCAAAATGGATTCATTGTTAGGGGGGAACCCTGGACTTGGGTGGTTTCCTATGTGCCTGTGTCGGGGCATAAAAGGGGAAGGTGGGGGTGGATAAAGCCACAGTTCGGCCACCAACCACCGGGCGTGCGTGTGTCTTTCGTTTGGCAACCTGCTTTGCCACTGCCGCTTTTGCCACTTTCGGCTGGAAGAAGTTCCCCGCCCCGCCAGGAACTCCATCCATCGCAGTTGGAAGGGGGTCCCCTAAGTCCATTTCTCGAGACATGTGCAGAAAAAAGAGAATTCGAGGGGTCGCAATCCCATCTCTGATTCCGCTCATGAGGAATAGGTGACACAGGACTGACCCTAGACCGGTAGCACGGATAAAGGATTAGAACCTGAGTTTCAGTGGAATCCATCAACCAAACTGACCTGAAAGAAGAAGCTAGTGACTATGAAGGGGGCTGAAATTCAAGCGAATCCAAGGCATCATCTACGCTCCAACTAATGTCCGGAGTTGTCCGATTTTGCGGTAAATTTGTTGGGTGTTCCCTCCATGTCCTCCCCAAAACCAACAGTACACTACCATGAAATTCGGACTCTTGCTCCTCATAAGGGCCGCTCAGACGAAACAAACGGAACCATTCCCCTTGAGGGAGCCGTTTGACGACGATATTTTGGGAGGCTTCACCATGACAAGAGTACCATCCGGCCACCTGCTAATACTGTGTACTATTATCATGAAAGGCATTTTAACTTACTTAAGTACCTCGAGTGGAAAAACCCTCCCGACCCAAAACCACCGCCGAACCACCACCGCTCGCTCAAAGGCGACTCGCTCGCGTTCCTGCTTCCCCCGCTCCGCGGCGTAGAAGATGGCCGTCCAGCCCCGGTGGTCCTCCGAACCACCCCCCGCCCCCTCGGTCGTCTTTTTGGCGTGGCACCCGGACCTCCACGGCTTTTTTGGGGCGCGTTCCGCTGCTTTCTTGGGCGTGCCGCCCCTTTGGCGCGTTCCACTGTTTCCTTGGCGCGTGCCGAGGCGTGCCACCCGGACCCCCAGCGTGCCACTTGTGTGGCCTCTTCTGGCATGATGTCCAATGAACAAATGCACTTTTTTGTATGGTAGTTCCACAGGCTCGCTACTGTAAGGGCCCAAATAGTTTAGCTCGGAACTTGGCCACGATGGAACAAACTTGCCTCGTGGCCAAAGGACCATGAGGTGTTTGCAAACCTTCGCCCCTGAATCGGCCCAGATCACAAAGCCTTCTTTCCCGGCCACCCGGCCAGGTTTCCTGTGCCCAGGGAGCACCTCTTCCTGAGATACAAAAACAACTCCAAACTCCTAAACGGGTGGCTTTCCTTTTCGGTGCCCTTTCAACCAACCAGAAAACGAGCAAAAAACACACACCTCTATTCCCAAGAAGTCAATGTCCAGTACCGTTCGCGGGCGTTCGTCGGAGCGGTGAGCTCGTTACAACTTGCGCGGATATACGGCGGATGCCCTAAATATTGCAAGTACACCAACGATACTGAACCACAAAAAACATGGTAACTAGGTCCTCCAGTACAGAGGTTACACTAAAAAAAACCTTCTTTTTCTCTCTAGTCCAGTAGACGAAAACCCTCCCAACCAAAAAAGGGTGAGAAAGGGCACCTAGCTGGGGGGCCTAGGTAAGTTACTTAGGTTCACTACTGGGGTGTCCTTGTTCCATTACTTGCAGTGGCCGGGGCATCCACCCAGCGTATCCACAAAAAAATCAGACGTTTGCTCTTGGCTGGAATTAGGACCCCGGCAAAAAGTATCTGTTTTGCCTGGCTAGTGGAAAACAAAGGGAACGCCAAAAAAGCAAAAAAGCAAAAAGGGGAGCTAATTCTGGGGAAGTGCTCAGCTTCTTGTAAATGTTGCAAGCTTGGCTTCGAGCGGGTGAGCAGACTCTTCAAAGTGGCCGGCTGAAGAGTGGCCGACAATGGCAGTGAAGGAAAACTGCTCCCCCCACAAGGTGATCGTTCTTGCAGGAAAGCTGCTCAACCGAAAAAGATCTCAACTTCTTGTTCACTAAAAAAATGATCCAAACCCCAACAAGCTCCTCAAGTCAAATAATAATAATAATAATAATAATAATAATAATAATAATAATAAAGTAAGGATCAATGATGAGCAAAATCTCAGTTCCTGACTGGGTTGGCCAAAAAGTCCAAACCTTGCATGTACCACTAAACCGGTCCAAAACCCCCCCAAAAAAAAAGCGCCAAAGCCCCGGAACGGAACTCGGGGAGTCCAGGACCTCCAACCGCCGTCTTCCACGCCGCCGCTTTCCCCCGGGAAGCGAACCGAAGAAGCCGCCCCGCGGAAGGCGCCTGCAGCCGGATCTGTGCAGAGGCCTCCCGGCGAGCGAGCGAGAGGTCGGTTTTGTGTGGCACACGTCTGGCCATCGGAGTTGGTGCCCCTCCCTCCCAGAAAAGATTTTAGGGGGGAACTGAAGGGGGAGAAAAAGGAAACAAGATCTTAGGGGGGGGAAAGGGGGGGGGGAAGATCTTAGGGCACCTGACAGGGCGTCCCTGGAGAGATTCATCTTCCAGATACCCCCCCTATAGCTGCCATGTTAGGAGGGAGGGTACCCCTTGTTTGGTGGGTTTTGACGGCAACCAACAGGAAAATCGAAGCTTAGGGTGGGGGGGAGTGTCCATAAAAAAAAGCACCAAAATGGTCTTCCCCAACCGATGACCAAGAACTCCATCAGCTCAGTGAGTGAGTTCAATGAAACCAACGCCGTGAGTCATCAAACAAGCGTCATTTGGGTATGTGTCAAAATTAAACCACCAGGAGTCGGACCGCAGGTTTTGGTCCATGTTTCCACTTACTAGGGTTCCATTGGGATACCTACTTTTGACCCACAGCCATTCGGCATCAACAAGTTCATCCAGGTCATCCAGTAGAAAGGTTGGAATAAGGGTGCCCTTTTTGCTGTAGTCTATTTTAGTAGGGGAACCCTCCCCAAAAAAAGGGTAAAAGGGCACTATCGGGGGAACTAGTCATGTCTGGAATTCAAGAACGCGGTTGGCAGGCGCATGAACAAGTCAGAATATCGTACAACGGTTCGGCATCAAAGAGCGCAGAGAGGCCCAAAAAAAAGACGGAAAAGCGAGAAAAACAACTCTGCGGTCCGTGGTAGATCAGCAAAGGGACCCACTTGTCGGGGATGGCTTGCAATCAAAACAAGGCTGTGGATACTAGCATGTTTTATGATACCAACACGATTCATTTCTATGACTACGTTGCCTGCTTTAAGACGACGACTTGGGCCGTGGTTGAAAAGTCACCCAGGAATTGGAACGCAGGTTCTCAGATGCCCAGTGAATGTCCATGGAGAAAACAAAAAAAAGGAATCGGCAACCGATTTTTGTTTGGTTGGTTGAGTTTAAAGGAATCGGAACTCTTCCCTTGTTTGTCGGGAATTTTTGTGGAAGAAGCTGTTGGATTTTCCTTTCTGAGAAGTCAGAGCAATAAAGGATGTGTCCCTTTGTTCCAGTTTTGCTTCAAAAAAAGTTTGAAAAAACAACCCATTGTGGGTATCGATTTTCACTCGAAGTCCCCATAACCTCAGCTGCTGCGCCCAAAATCATGCGCTTGAGTCACCCAACGTGTCAAGAAAGATCCCAAGATCCGTAAATGGAAACCAAAGGCAGAATCCGGTAAAACCCCACAGGGCAAATGGGTCCGTCGAAAATATCAGGTCAAAGCACGGCAACGAAAATGGAACAAAGGACACATCCTTTATTGCTCTAACTTCTCAGAAAGGAAAATCCAACAACTTCATCCACAAGGATCCCGACATACAAAGCAAAACACTGAAGTAAACTCGCAGTAATGTTGACCCCAGATCAACAAGCCAGTTCTGAAACATAGGGAGCTGTTCCCCTCCAAAAGTACCACATCCCCACAAACAAAATCAATCAGCGGGTTTAGCAAAATCCGGCGGTTCCATTTGTCAGACAACTTGCTGGTGCTTAGGGAATGTGGCAATGAACCCAGGCTTTGGTCCCCTTAAAGGGAACCACAAGGGATGGGGGTGTATTTCAGAGGTCATTCCATTTCTCATTCTCTGCCTATCCAGCCAGCAAGTAATGGCCCCCTGGTGGGTGAATATGGGATGTCCCCTATTGGTAGGGGTCATTCTTGTGCAAATTTTGGAAGTTGAAGTCCATTTTGAATGGCTGGGGCAGCACTCTGTTGGTCCATGGCTTCCAAAAACCAAACAAACAAAAACAATGAAAGAACATCTATTGGCCCCTGGTTTCCAAGAACCAAACCACAAACAAGCAGTGGCGCGGCCCTTTTTCCCCCGTGGCACACGCAACCCCCCCCCCCCCCCGAGTTGTCGGGCGCCCGGTCACCAACCGACCACCCGGCCTCGATGAGCAGGATCGGCACCTCCAGGCTGCCTTCCAGGCAGGCGAGCCTCGAGAACGCGGACGCTCGCTCACGTGAGTCGCACTCAAAACCGATCGGTACTAAAATGGCCGCAATCCCAGAACCATGCTTCAAGGATTAAGAAGGCGGAATTCCGCGGCTATTTCTGCCTGGGATCGTCCCTTACTAACCCGGATCATCTACCCAGGTTTTGATTGTGGCTCACGTGACGCGGATGGATCCATGGTGACGCCATGGGCTTTTCAAAACCCAAATCGGTTTGCCCCACTGGGGGAACCTCCAATTCAATCCCCTCCCCACTAAGATTCCGGTTCTAGAATCGGCAAGTCACCTACCCACCAAAATGGGACCATTGGCTTTGACCACCACAGCCATTTAGGCCACCAAAGGTTGCCAGGGGCTTGGGGGCAGAGGTAAAATCCAGAGGCGCATCCAAAACGTTGGGTGGATGCTTGTCCATACCTCAGCTGAACCAAACATTTGCCACCCCAGATCCAAAAACCAAAAGGAAAACGGCGGGCAACCCAAAAGGTGTTTTTCAACATTAGGGACCCTCCAGGTGGTTGGGTGTCTTTCTTGTTTCCTGAAGAAAACCATCCAAGAAAGGGGTCCCGAAATTTTGAGACAAACCCACATGACACCCTGTGGATACATTTGTGTAACCGACAGTTTGCCGCCTTTCCGTAGCCAATCGGACATGGCATATTCATAGACTCCCAAAGTGCAACGCCCATGGGGATCTGAATAGGGGATGGGTATCGATGTTTCGTAGACTAATTGTTATGGGTGTTTTTCTTCTATACGAGAACCATTTCCATCGTGTATTCTTCTGGTTCACTGTGCCGTGATATGTCCACGTGCGTGCCCCCGCCCCCCCCCCCCCCGCCCCCCCCTGGCAAAGGCAAACACAAATACAAAGGACAATTCTTCGAAAGTCTGCTATCTGAAAGAGGGTATGGTTGCTTTCTAAGATCGACGGGTAGTAGGTTGCATGCCTTACAGCAATATATATGTAAACCCAACCAGGTCCGACCACAACACCATGGCATCATCCGGAAAAGGTCGGGGGGTGTCCTTGTTCCCCTTGCAATATCTAGGGCATCCGCCGGTGGCCACCGCACCTGGCAGAAAAAAATCGAATCCCTTGAGCCAGCCTTCGCGAAACCCAAGGGCCGGGCATCAGCGGGGTGCGGCCCGAGTTGTCCTGACGTGGCAGCCAGAGCAGTGACCCCCTGATTGGGTTCTAACAAATGGCTTCCTTGGGGATGCGAAAGCCGCATGGTTTTGTGTGGGCTGCATTTGGATTCGAGTTAAATGGATGCTGCTTGCACACATGACATAGGTGTGACTCCAAATTCAAGAGCTAGGGCAAACCGCGAATTCTAGTCTTTGGTTCCACTTACTAAGGGAGCCGTTTGGCTACATGTTTTTGAGCCACAGCGCAAGCCACATAAATGTTCTACGCAGGCGATTGAAACTCGTTTTTGGGCACGCGTCCACGACCCCCCCCCCCCCCCCCGCGGCGGGGAAGATTACGTACAATGTGCCGCCGCGAGCCTTTGAGGGCCATCGTCGCACATGGACTGCAATGAATCCGAATCAAAAGTGCGTGCCGGCACAGGCAGGGGAACGTAAGGACTGTAAGTGGCGCTCGCTTGCTCGTCCCTTCCTCTCTATCCTTTTGCTCTTGGTCATTCCCCTCGCTCCCTTGTCTGGCAATGTAATCCCAAGAGTGGAAAGGAATGTCTTGGCACGCCTCACTCCTCAATCATGACGGCCTCTCCTTGGTTTTGAGAGAGACAGAGAGAGAGGAGAGAGTGGTAAAAGCATTCTGTATACCTTCGTACCTTCGTGAAATATTGTTACTATAAATAACTGTAATGTTACCGTCTGATCTGTCACTTCCACAACTTCCTATTTTATCGTTTACTAGCTCACAAGCTCACAATGATAGACTAGAACTAGCTGGAAATGAAAGAAGGAAAATGTTACATGAAGACCAAAAAGAAGGAGCCAGAAGCAGGAACCAAAAGGGTGGCCAGCTTTAAAGGGAACCTCGTTGCTTCAACAGTAAGTGCTGTTTCCTGCATCCATCTGGGCAAATTCCGATAATTCCTATGAAAGGAACCTTCACTTTGGGTGACATCGAAATTTCTGAGCTACCAGGGGAGTTGCTCAAACAAGGGGTCGCAACAGACCATGCAAATCAGGGTTGTGGGAAATGACCACTTCTGTGATACAACAGGGCTTCCCAAAGACTAACACCCCATATACAGGGGGAGATTCCCTTGTATCACAGAAGTGGGAATAAACCCCTTGATTCCACAACCCTGATGCAAATTCATCAACTATTGAAGGGAAAATCCAGGGTTTGCCCTGGCCCTACAAAAATCAAACAACACAAAGTTTGCCCTGATTTCCCATGGCCACTGTGACAGTACCCCGGCCCCGAAAAAAATAAATAAATAACGGCTGCAGGATAGAAACCGACTGTTCACCGTGCCAGGTAGGGGTCCTTTCGAGAGGGGAGAGAACCATGAGCCCACTGTTAGCACACCTCTGTGTGCAGTTTGTTGGCACAACTCTTCCTGGCCGCGAGTTTTGACCGAGGAACATGTCGCCGCATTTGCTTTCACCCAACTCACTAATGGTAACAACCAGCCTTGGCCCCCCATAAGGGTCTCCTTCAAAATGTGTTCTCATATTTTGTAGACCAAAGATGAAATAGAGAAAGAAAAGGAACTTAAGGGCCCCCTGTGGTTCCCCCACCCCTCCCAAAAATGTTAAAGCTCGGAAACACATCCGTGCTGATTTGCAGAATTCGGGGTACTGAACATGAAACCAAAGTCCAACATATGGAACTCACATCCAAAAAAAAGCACAAAAAAAAAAAAAAAAAAAAACACGAAAGCTCAGAGAGAAGAAGCCCACTGGGGCAATCAGCTTCCACCACCAACCAACCCCCCCCCAAAAAAAAACACACACACACACACAAAAAAAAAAAAACTCGGAAGGAAGCTTCCACCGACCCACCCGAATCGTCCTGGCAGTCCAGCCGCGCCCGGTTCTCCAGCAGGAAGGTAGCGGCCTGGCCCAGCTTTTGGGTGCACAAAAGCCGTCTGGCACGTGGTTGCGAAATCCATTTTGCACCACCTAAGAAGTCCTGGAGTGCTGGAAGACCATATTTCCCTTTCAAGGGGAGCGGCATGGTTCCATGTTCGTTGGTGGGAGGGCCAATTCACCCACAAAAACCAGGGGACCAACCTATATATGTAGGGGACTAGTAGCCCGCTCCAAAGCGACGCAGGGGACGAACCTAACTTTCCCCATGTCCGCTCGCTCGGGAAACAAGCAGTTTTGACCCAGCTCACGTCATCCCAAAGTAGAGACCTTTCGCAATTCCCCTTGCTGAGGTTTCCATAGTCTGTCCAGACACGCTGCTTTGTAGCGGTTGTAGAACTCCATTCCCCCAAATGGGGGGAGGAACCACACGGCACATGCGTGGCTACCTCCTAAGAAGCCCACGCCTGCAGGGCGCTGTTGCGGCAGGCGTGGCAGAGCGGTGTCCAGCCCAGGCAGTCCTCGCGCTGTTTCTTCTTCGTTTCGGAACTCTTCAAGTTTTCCTTTTGGCGCCTTCGATAGACCGCTGATTAGGGAGGTGTCCTATCATAGAGGCAAAACTTCAATTTTGCCCCATTGACACACCCGAGTTTGTTTGCTAGGGACTGCACTCTTCGGGGCAAAGCTTTACTCTTCGGGCTGTTGCCACCCCTAAGACTTCACCAAGTTGATTCATCCAGGGTCGACATCAAAGCGGAAACCCCCAAATCAAGTAGGAAACAAGAGGCTGTTCCAACTGGAGGTGTGGCCTTTTACTTCCCAAGGAGGCTGTGAAAGGCAACGGCATCAGCGGGGACGGCTGTTAGCAAGCAGCTAGCATGGCGAGCGCCCGCGCCGGTTGAACATCCAAGTTTGCGCAAACATGGCCCAGACTCCAAACCCAACTCACCACCATGTTCTGGACCCCTTCATAACCCTAGCTGTAACCTACTTATCACTACCGATGAAAGTGACATCCTCAAACGGAAATTGCAAAATGGTTCGCCCCCAGCGAGGTTCAGCTGCGACCTACAACCATAGTTCTGCAAATGTGGCTGTGGCTCAAAAAACCGGAATTCCAATATGGGGTTCCCCTGGTAAGTGGAAGCATAGTTCCCAAAACCTGTTGTCCGATTCCAGGTGGTTTAGTTTTGACCCACACCCATGTCTCAACCAGAAAAAAATGAGCTTCATCTTAAAATTGTGCGTTTTGTTTTTCCGTTTTTATTATTATTATTATCATCATCATCATCATCATCATCATCATCATCATCATCATCATCATCATCATCATCATCATCATCATCATCATCATCATCATCATCATCATCATCATCATCATTACTATTATTACTATTACTATTATTATTATTATTATTATTATTATTATTATTATTATTATTATTATTATTATTATTATTATTATTATTCTTATGATTGTGATTATTATTATTATTATTATCATTATTATTATTATTATTATTATTATTATTATTATTATTATTATTATTATTATTATTATTATTATTATTATTATTGTTATTATTATTTCTCTGGTAAGAGGAAACATGGCTCCCAAAACCTGCGGTTTCCCCCGCCCTCCGGTAACTGTTTTTGAGCCACACCCATTTCAGCTCCAACTCCAACAGCTGCATTAAGCGTTGGGTCCCCAGGTCAAGGACCTCTCTCATGAGCAACTGATACCTGTAGGCTTTTTGCTCGCGAGAAAATAAGCAGAGCATAGGTGTCCAATTTTAGGATCCCTCGTAGACGAGGAGAACCCACCAGGTAAACCAGGAATCGCCATCTATTGTTCTGGCAAAACAACCAAGAAGGACACCTATGAAGCAGATGCTTATCACCCAAGTGCCAAGCAGTGTCAGGTGGCCATGGGTCGACCCTTTCGCGCAACTTCCTGGTTCTCGATGCCGATCTTGGCATCCGCCATGAACTTGAGCACCTCCACCTCAACGACATGGGCCGTGAGTCTTCCTTTCGCTGTCCGTTAAAACGGATCCCCGAAAACGAAGAAGCGACGAACTGTTCGTGGGTGAGAAATGGCAATCCAAGCACCAAACATTAAAAGGCTCCAAAAAGCTGAGGAACCGGCTGGCTGGGAACCAGCAAGCTTTGAGAAAGAAGGGAGTGACTTTAGAAAGCCAATGCTCAGGTTCTTCTACAGTACACGACACATTCAATGTTTACGTGAATCCACTTGTTTGGGATGTGGTCTTGCGGCTTTCCGCGCAGCTTCCCATTTGCCCACGAGGACCAGGGACCCGTTCAAATCCAAATCCAGTCCCAGCAATCCTCTTCACCAAAAAAAGCACCTGCAACCCTTTTACCGAGCCTCAAAACGCCACCAGTGCACTCCAAACCACCTTACGGGAGCGCCAACAAAAAGAACCTGAAACCTTACTACCGGCCACACCCCCAAATCCACTTCACTATAACTAGGTCCTCCAGTAGACAGGCTAGAATAAGGGTACCCTTTTTTCCGTAGTCTATTTTAGTAGGGGAACCCTTCCAACCAAAAAAGTTGGTAAAAGGGCACTAGTGGGGGACCCAAATAAGGACTGCCAGAAGAATCAAAATGTAACCTGAGGGTCCTTCATAAGGAGGCTTATGCAGGGCATTACAAGGAGCCTCATAAGGAAGCTCATAAGGAGGTCTTACCATCGCTATAAGGACTGCCAGAAAAGGAACACTGAAACATTACTACGCATCGCGAGAAGGACTGCCAGACAAAGAATAATAATAATTATTATTATCATTATTACTATTTTATTTATTTTATTTTATTTATTTTATTTTGTTTTATTTTATTTATTTATTATTTTTAAAAAAAAAGAGAGTAAAACCTGGTTTCCCCGCCTCCAAACGCCACCAAAAAAAAAAAAAAAACGCAGAGAACTCGAACTCCGCCCAGCTGCCGCTCCCTCGGCGCGGGTGGTGGAGGCCAGCATCACCACGTCCTGCGCGCGGATCGCTCGTCTCCACCGGACCCAAAACGACCCGAAACGGCCCCTCCCGATGGGACAAAAAGGGGCGGCACCGTTTTTCGGAGCTGCCGAAAAAAAAAAAAAAAAAAAAAAAAAAAAGTGTAAAACCTTCTAGTGGGTTCTAAATGGAAAAATCCAAGCACTAAACCACCAAACAGCGAAAAAAAAGCTGAGAGCATGGCTGGGAACCACCCAGCGAAAAAAAGAAGCCGTTTTGGTAGATTTGAAAGCAGGAAAATGTCGAAAGAAAGAGCTGAAACAAGTTGGGAAAAGCGTTGATGCCAAAAACTTCAAGGAGTTGTATGTGTTGGTGAAGGGGTTTCTGCCTCCTAGTGCAGGTAGCATCCCCAACATCAACCCCCGAACCCTCTCGGAACCCTGCCAGAACCCCCGGCACGGAGCCGTTCCAAACCACCGGCGCTCCGGACATATCGACCCCAAAGCTCTCTCAGCGGTGAAAAAGTGGCCGGCGATCGGAAGAAGCGCCGCGAGCTCTGAAACCCTTCTGTGGGCTTCCACGCTTGTTGGATGGATGGTTCTTGAGTCACGATCAAAACCTGGCATTGAACTGGTACTACCCAGAATCATGTAAAGAACTAAGAAGGCGGATATCCGCAGCTATGTATGGCTGGGATCGTCCCTTGCTAACCTTCACTTAGCCACGTTTTGATTGAGGCTCACTTGTACTTTTTGGTTGAGCGACAATGAAGCCTGGAAGGACTTCAACGGGCGGACCCGCTGAAAGATGATGACAGACTCGCTCCTGGCCGCGCAGCGTCCGCGCCGTGAGGTCTGCGCCCTGGCGGGTTTTGCAAAGCTTGCGCCCGCCCCAAAAACCCTCCCGGGGGAAACAAATCGGGTATGAGTCAACATTAAAAAAAAAAAAACGGAATCGGACTGCATGTTGTCGTCTTTGCCTGGATCGCCAGTTGCGATCGCTTTTTTCCATCCACTTGACTGAAAAAAGAGATCGCAACTTGGCTATCTAGGTGGTTTCATTTACCGATCGGGCAACCCATTTTGGGGTTACCGCTTTTTTGACCACAGCCAATTGGCCTCGTGGAAGGTCCAGCTGGCCAGGGGAATGCGAATTCGGACTGTCACCTCCTAGCCTTCGAAGGCGGCTGTCGTCTCCATGGCTTGAAAACCAGCGGCTAGACGTTGAAAGCAAAGGGCTCTTCTGGACGAACAAACGTTGAAACGGCCTGGAAAGGGGGAGACACGCTTCTAACCCCGAAACGACCTGGATTCAGACCCTTTCGGGGTTAGGAGGGTATTGTGGAAAGTGGAAAGGGGAAAGGTAGGGAGCCCAAAACCGAGGTTCCGCCCATGCCCAACCTCAATCCCCACCCTCAGTGCGTCATGGGCCATTGAAACCCCAAGTCCAAACCCCGGATTTGCCTGAGCTTGGGAGGTGCCCTGGTAAGGTTTGCTTTGAAAGACCCACCCTAAACAGAAGGGCCTCGGACCTGTAAAAATGAGTCTTCAGCCTTTGCGGGATTAAAAGGAAAGCCAGAAGGAAACCAAAAACCCATCTGGTGAGGGCCATCTCCAGTTTGTGAGCTGCACCAATGGCGGATACTCAAAAACTCGGGTGACACTAAATGGGTTCCAACAAAGGGGGGCCAGTTGGATGCTACACGCATGAGAGTAGAACCCGTTTTGGGCGGCCGATTCAAATTTAAACACGTCCACCAAAGGTCTGGTAGTGAGCCGAGGCAAAAAACAGAAGGTTCGCTTCCCCCCAGACCTCCGGTGGATGCCCATGGGAAACAACTCCTTTTTTCTTCCTAACCGTTGAATGAACAATCATGGAATCAAATGCAACAAAACAATATATCTCAAAAGTGGAATTGCGCCAACAACACCGGCAATTAAGAACGTGAAAATGTCACAGTCAAGTGTCGCACCCATTGCATGGTCGTTGATTTTCACGGAAACCCCCTCCAAACAAAGTCGAAAAGAAAAGAACAGCAAATCCTGAGTACTGGCCCAGAAAAGTAGCCTTCCCCCCGAGAACAAAACGGGCTCCCAATATTTCCTCTTCATTTGTTTGTTAACATTTTCTAAAGCAACCTCCCTTTTAAACTGCCCAAACGTGAGGTCAAAAGCCAGCAAAACGGAGTCGAAACCGCGAAACACGCCGCACGCCCCAGCCTCCTCCACGCAGTGCACCACCTGTCCTGGGCCGGGCTTTGGAATCCAAATGCCGGGCCCAAAGAAGCGGCCGAGGTCAACCTCAAGGCCCTAACCAGGAGGAACATAACCAGAGATTTTCTCTCGGGGTTCTGCTGGTCCGGAGGCCTAATGTTGACCCATGAACCTGCAGCAACCACCCCTTGGATGGCATCCGTCTTTGTGACAAACAAACTGGAACTACCGCACTACTGGCCTCCCTTTCTGTCCCCGAATATCGCCCCTCTAAACAAAACTCAAAGCAACAGCAGGAAGATTCCACGTGCGGAAGGTACCTGTAAATTCGAAGATGAGAAGAGGTCACCAAAAATAATGGTACAGAAAAGACTCAATGAACAATCGTCCCCAAAAACGCTTCGGAAGGTGTCAAAAAAGCAACCAAAAAGGCCAGGTCCAAGTATTGGAAAAACCGACCCCACATCTTTCAAGTTGCAACCTCTATCATGGGGTGTCTTTCGCAAGCTTCCACTAGACTTGAGTTAAGCGAAACTTGTTTGGGCCTATCTTTGGGGTCCGCTTCACCTACATCACCTAGTTGCCGCGTCTATCATTCTAAGAAGGCTCAGTCGAACATTTCCCCCCAGGGGGGGGGGGCCCTTTGAGTTCCTCCTAGTTTTGGCAATGAAACACCGCAAAGTCCATGGACGTGGCCAATCCACTCAGGAAGTGAGTGTCTCACATGTGCCATGGTCCAAACACCTGATTTTTTATCAGTTAAGATAGAACCCCGACGTCTGACTTTGATACCCCTGGCACACAGTCCAAATGCTGCAAAGAACAGGGCTCACTGGATTTCCCCGGGTCAAAGGTGCATCAATTTACTGGCGGCCTCTGTTGAAATTGTATCACGCTTGGGGGGCGCCAAAACTCGGTTGCTTTCTGCTCCCCTGCTAAAAGTTTAACTTTTAGTGGTTTAATTCGGAAAACCCATGAGTTGGATCAAAAAGTTGCTCAGTCCTAACAGCCCCTGGCAACATGCAACAAAGAAAAAGGGAAAGAACTCGGACACCCCTGCAGGAACTGCAGGAACCAGAAGGGAACCCCCCTGGCCCCGTTCTCCGAGCGTCGCGTCCGGTCTCCGGGCCCCCGGGCGGAAGTCGCCCACCCGCAGCGCTTGGAAGAAGCCTCGGGATCTCTCCCGAGGGCTGTGGGGAATGACTGAATGACCACTTCTGTGATACAACAGAAAGGGCTTCCCAAAGACTATTTTCTTCATATAAAGGGGGATTTCCCTTGTATCACAGTGGGGAGAAACCCCTTGATCCCACAACCCTGCCGGGACTCCCGGGTGATTCGCTTTGGGCGAGAAAGCCTCGGCTAGGTCCTCCAGTAGAGAGGTTAGGTTTTTGGCTGCCCGATGCTTTTTTCTGGCAAGTCTGTCTGAGTAGGGAAATCCAAAACCCCGGCAGTCTATTTTAGTAGGGGAACCCCCCCAACCAAGAAGGTTGGTAAAGGGGCACTACTGGGGGACATAGTCGGGGTTCTCCATTGGGGCGAGCCGAGTGGGCAGGGGTTCAATGGGATAAGCAACCATCCTCCAACCAAGCTCGGACCTCTTTCGCCCCTTTTATACGCAGTGACAAGATGTTCCAATGGGTTTGGACGCCCATTCTTGGTGTTTCGTTGATGCCTCGGTAAAAGCTTGAAAGCTCTAGTGGTGTTATGTCATACTTTCATTGAACTCTAAACGACGGAACTGTATGGCCGGAGACTGAGCCCAGGTTGCGTGAGTGACACGGTGCTATGGACAGGTACCATCCCCATGTGGCTTCGAATGGAGCCGGGGTTCAGACCCCCAGTTCCCGCCAATCCAAACCGCCAACTAAGGGTTGCCTGATTTAGGACAAACGTAAACAAAAAACAGGGAACCGTTCACCTTCTACAAGAACTGGTTCAAATCTCCAGTGGGGCGTCTCTTCTTCGAGGGCACCCCAATTTTGGGTGGCTTTCAAGGGAAACCAAAAGAACCAACAGCGAATTTCTTGGCTGGAAGTAGGACCCCAGCTTCCAACAACCTATTCTTTGCGCCTGGGGTTCAACTATGCCCCCCCCCCCCCCAAGCCCCACAAGCGAAAAAGAAACAAAAACATCGAAAAGGGGGGTGTTGCTTTCCCCCCCCCCCAAAAAAAAAGAGCGGAAAAAAAAACTAAGAAGGGTGCTTCTGGGAAAGTGTTCCGGGTCCAAGTCCCCCGGCCCTCGTGACGCTGCTGGTCCTCCTCCCGCTCCTTCTCCCCCAAGCCGCACCTGCCATACATGAGCTGGTGGGATAGGTAGGGAAATGACGAGACCCGGGTGTTGGGAACCGTTTTGGGATTCCCTTAAAGGAAGGTCTATAAAGGGGATGGTTTATAAGGGATGAAGCATTTCGAGATCCGGAAATCATTCGCCGCCACCATTCATAAACCAGAAAGCAGAACGTTTGCTCGTATTTGCTCTAGAAAACGGTTTTGAGGCAGTTTTTGTGGATTTCACCTGTTATTCCCCTTGTTTGTCAGTTGTTAGTCATTTGTTGCACTCCTTTAATATTCTACAGGGGAGGATCCACAAAAGCCGCACCCACACCATATTCTAGATTTACGTTGGGGAATCCAATCATCCCAAGGTTTCTTAGGTGGTTGCGAAATCCATGGTGTGGAATGGATCTCGCAATCATCCACAGTATGGGCCTGCATGTTTTTTCAGGGGGTACCATATCTTGGCCCAATCCTGAGACATATAAGCATGCTGTGTCTTCGTCATGGGCATGGCGTGCCCAATGAGAAACTGAAAAATCATGGTTCGCCTTCTGGGGGTGTCTTTTTCACAGCCCCTTCTTTCTTGTGGCTTCAAAGAGAAACCGGACGGACTCGCCACGTTGGGGCGACTGAAAAAGACGAGCCACCCCAACTTCCCTCTTCAGCTCCGAAGGCTCCAACGAAAATCTCCGAGCCCCGCGCAGCCGCAGCCGCTCGGAGACCGGATGGGCGAACGTTCGCCGGGCCTCCTGGTCCAAAGGCTCGAGTCGAATCGGCCCCAGAGCGTAACCTACAGCACCGGCCCCCTCCCAAGACCCAAGGGCTCAACAGGGCCCAAGGTGGAATCCAAAGGGCTGTGTCATTTTTGTGTCATTTTTGTATCATTTCTATCATTTGTATCATTGGCATCTCCCCAAATCATCATTTATATCATTTTTGTGGCTGTGTCAATTTTAGTTGCAGGGCCCCAACATGAAATGGCGCAACAGTTTTTCCGTTTAGTGTCCCTGCATCGCCAAACGAAAATACCAACTCCAAAGAAAATCTGCTTCGACTTCGGGGTTCTGATCGGGTTCCGAGTTCCGAGAACCATTCTGGATCATTCGGCCTGGACCACCCCCCCTGGCAAGAAAACCTACCCGGGGGTGGTTCACTTCAGGGTCCCTTCAAGCGGCTGCATTTCACTTCGACGTGGGGGCGCGTTTTCCGCAAGAATCACCTCGCATGCGCCTGTCCTTCACCTAGCGCCAAAGCGGTGCTTGGAACATGATTCCGGTTTTTTCTGGTATTGAACAACATTTTGAGGTCATGGTAAAGGTTCCAGTGGGCTGCACATCAACATGGAGTCCAAAGAACCCATCCGTCCAAAAGGAGCTTTAGCTCCTTTTGAAGGAGCCAACTGCACCCGGGTCAATCCGCAGGGGCTTGAATAACCTGCATTGGGTTGTGAGATACTTTGCTATCAAAAGAAGTCATCATAGGAGCAACATGCTATGATCTATTCCCTGCCCATTTGGGACACGAGCCACATCCAAAGGACTACGAACGTTCCCTGCCAAAAGAGAATCGTGCTCGCCCCCTCCTTTTCGCAGGAGAAAAAAAAAGGGGGGGGGGGGGGGGGGGAAAAAAAAAAAAGAAGAAGAGGCGGGAGAAAAAGCTCCCGTGCCTTGGCATTTGGGGATTCTCAGACCAGTTTCACCGAACCTCCCTGACCTTTGCCATCTCTGGCGCCCAAAACATCCATGGGACCACAGACCCACCGGAAAGCTTCACCAAACCTCCCTCGTTGGCATCTTCGGGGTCTCCAGTTTGACCAAACCCACCCCGGAAAGCTTCACCGGTTGCGCGCCTCGGGCTCAGGCCCGTAGAGAAGCTGCCTGGGGAAAAGGAAGACCCTGCAAATACCCCAGTGAATTCCCAGGAAGAAAAAAAAAAAGGTCACCCCGTCTTTGGACCTTTTTTGTGGTCGTCGACTTCAAAGGGAAGCCCAAACAAAAAAAAAAGAGGAAAGAAGAGGGCACCGGTCTGTCGGAGAAATCCCCAAGGCCTCAAATTTGAGGAACCTGGGGCGCAAAGGCCCCCCAAAGCGGCTCCGAGGATTTCATGGATTGCCGCTGAATACCTGGGGCTGACTGAAGCATCTAGATCCATCCAAGCGCCATGGTACCTACCGGAAACCCAAGCCACAAGCCCACAAAGACAACCCATGTCTGCCAAGCGGAAGCCGCCGGAAGGTCTACCGCCCGTTGTGCTTCTTGCAGCTCATCTGCTCTTTTTTGTTGTTTTTCTTTTGTTTTCCTCTTGTTTTTCTCTTCTTCTTTTTTTTCTCCGAGTTGGTGTCGTTCGTTTTTGGGAGATGTCTTAAGGGAAACCCAGGGAAACCACTGAACCCACCCACCCACTCCATGACACACAAACCCCATCTAGTGAGGACTAGACCCCCGGAGTCCCAAGCCAAAGGGGGAGCCGACGGAAGCCGAAGGGAAGCAATCTTTTTGGCCATGATACTCTTGGCACAAAGAAACCCATGGTACCTTCCTTTTGTCTTCAAGTATGGCTTCCCTTTCTTGGTACCATCATAAATCGGCTTTGGTTCTCCTCAGAGTTCAGTCAGCTGACATAATGCCCAAACCAAGTGTCGGAGCAGGGCTCCGAAAGACCACCAGGGGCGGGCCAAGCCCTGTTCAAACCGCATTTTTTCGTTAAAACTGCAGTTGTACTTTGTTATCACCCTAAGCGTGCCCTCTTTTCTTCTCTTTTTTGGCTCCTTTTGGTGGTGCCTTTGACCAGTGGTCACTGCATGTCCCCCTTCACCGGCCGGGCTCTGCCTCCTTTCATTTTGCCCCACCCTCCAATTCTCCACAGGGATGCTTACATTATACACCTGAACATCGCCTTGTAAATGGTGGTTTCCCTTTGTTTTGGTGGAAAGAGCCATGTTTCAAATGGTTGCAAGATGAATCTGTTAAGAAGCCACCACCCTCCAATTGGCCGCCGCGGCGCAGTGCCGCGCGCTGCGCGTTCTGCATGCAGCCCAGGGCCGCATTGCTCGAGCCGTGCCGCTTGGCCTTCCTGGCGTCAAAAAAGGGGCGCCAGGCATCCGGGAGGAATCTAGGCTGGAATTAGAACCCCAGCAAAAAACATGTGTTTTGCCTGGTTAGTGGAAAACAAACAAAACAGCAAAAACAAAAAAAATGAGCTAATTCTGGGGAAGAAATATGGCTGAGGTTTCATAGGGGACCACCTCAAAAGTGGTTAGTGCCAGCGAATTCTGGTGTCCACCATTTCGGGTCCGAAATCAAAATTCAGGCCCACATTGGCATGGACTGTAGCAGAATCTGGCAGCTAGACAACGTCGGCCCCGCCCCTATGTCACTTCGTGGCGACTGTTATTTTTCTTCCGGGGTAACCCCCTGCATGAACGAGGGGGGGGGGGGATTTAATCAGAGGTCAACATTGGGGGGGCACAACTCCCCCAAAAGTAATCAGAACAAAAACGGGACGCCCCGACAATTAGCCGAGCCAACCATTGGTTCCCAATACGGACTCGCAATCATCTCCTACTAACATGGCGCCTGGGAGGCAAATGGTCCCTGCAATTGATCCAGGTACACTTTTGCAGGGGCTGGGCGAGTCAAGTTTCTGCTTCCATTGTTCCATGGTTCAACTGGTCACCAGCTGTTTAGCCACTAACTGTTCTGGTGTCCCTTTCCAGGGAACCGATTCGAGAAAAACTCAAAACTCCGGGCTTTGGGCCCGATCCGATTCGAGAGCTTAAGACAGAGGTGCCGATCCGCAAGCCGCCAGACCCTGGAAACCAAGAGAGACCCATGTCTTCTACCCAACCGAGAGACCGATCATTTTTGGGAGGTTCTCAAAAAACAACGTCTTTCAGGGGCATGCAAAAGTGTGATTTGTTTCAAGGGAAACCAAAAAGCAAAAAGAAGAAGACAAAAATGGTGTCCCCCCTAAAAACGTGCACGCCCACGTGTCTGGGCTTTGCCACACACGCGAGACGCGGGAAAAGGACCAGCCCAGCCCCTTCTCCCATCCGATCCCAGGCGTCCCATCGCCTGCGGCTGCCGAAGTCCAGGTCCTTCGAGTCGGCTCCGCCGATGTGAGAAGCACTCAGTCGGCGGGCGGGAAATCCACCAGGGTAAGGGTTGCGAACTGCTCCACTTAGGTGTCCTTTGGGGGAAAGCAAACTCAACAGGCCAGAAGGGACTGTGTCTCCCCCTCTCTCTCTCTCTCTACATTGGCATGTGTATATATATATACATATATATATGTATATACAGTATATACATATGTATATATACATTTACATACATATAAAGATAAACATATATATATATATATAATGTATATACATAAATGAAATATGTCCGCCTCCAGCGAAACCGTGGGCGCTAAACCAATCAACTGCCCCCCAAAGGGCCTTCGCACGACCGACGAATCGTCCCTCGCCTGGCACCGCGCCAGGCTATCCGCCGCGCCCATGGCATGGCAGCCCGCCACACTTCCGCCGGGCTGGGGGATGGTTCTGGGCGTGTCCTTCTTTTTCTCGGTGCTCTTTTTGAAAGGGGCGGTTACAGGGGAAACCAAAGGAAACCCAGAGAATTGTTCCGGGTTCCCTACTTTTAATGAAAACCCCATACAACGGAGTCTACCCCGAAAAACCGACGTCCGGGAAAATAAAGGCTTCGTTCCGTGCAGGGCTTAACATGAACTCTTTTGGCACTATGTGGATCACCCAAAAGCACCTTGGTGGGCTGATGCCTGGGGCTGGGCGGGGCTCGCACTTGCACAAGGATTCAACTTTTCTTGGCAGTCGACCCAAAATCAGCCGTTGAAGCCCTGCAAAAAGGTTCCCTCTTCACTTGTTGCCATCAGTCCAACCCAAGAACCCTTTCTCATGCGCCCAGTTCCGCGCTTCAGCCGCTGAAAACAGGCCCGCGGGAAAATCGATCTCCGCCTCTCGCGGGTGGCTTCTTGGACCGGCAGCGAGTCAGCACCGGTGGCCCCAACCCCCCAGCACCTTCCAAGATGGTCCCATCCGCGGAGGATGATCAAAGCGATTCCTGGTGACTTGTGGCAAAAAGTGAAGAGGGAGACCTTGTTGCAGGGCTTCGACCGCTGATCTTGGGTGCATAGGTGACCTTCTTGGTTGTTTCGGTGGAAAGATGGAGGGCGATTCCTGGTTCGCCTGATGGTTTTTTCTCGTCTACCAGGGAAACCTACTTCAACCTCCCACACCGCGACTGCCTGAGGCACCGGAAAAACGAGCCCACATGTCAACCTTCGACGCCATCCTCTCGGCTTCCCCCGAGCGGAGAGAACTCGCGCCAGGCACTCCCCTCGGTTTCTTTGCAACATGAGAAAGTGAGAGGCCTCGAGGCTTGCTGGGAAAGGGCTCAGGCTTTAAAGGCAGGGGACGGGGCTGAGATTTTTGGTTTCGTCGCCGGGTCTTTGGGGTGAGCAGACCGAACCAGCCGTGGCCTCCGACCCGCCCTCTCGCGGTTTTTTGTTGGCATCGCATTTGCGTCCGCCAGCGCGGTCCAGCGGTGCGGTGATGGCATCAGTGAGACTCATCCCACTCCTCATCCCAGTCCTCAGACGAGTCAGAGGAAACAAATATTTTGCAGGCGCCCAACCCAAAAACGGATTGAAATGAGTTCGCAGACTGGGGGGTGGGCCAACCACAGATGGTTGAACGCGTGACAAATAATTCCCTCTTCCTTTTTCTCTAACGGTCGAAACCTTCCTGGGTTTCAATTATCTCCTTTCGCTTCCTGCCCTAAGTGTTGAAAAGCAAAATCTGAGAAGTCCGAGAGGAGGGCTCCTAGTTCCACTGGTTGGCCTGCTCAAATCACCAGTTTGGCCACGACATATTCCCGACATGGGCCCTTCAGGAGCCTGGCACCCTGCAAGAAATCCATTCAAAAATTGCCCTGTGAGAGCCAAGTGGGATGAGCCTCTTGCCATGGCGCCCTTCTCTGGAGTTGGGTAAATGCTTCGAACTAGTTCAAGGGAAAGTCAAAGGGGAAGCAAAGGCACCCCCCTCCCCCCAGGTGGGCGGCTGTTTCCCGGGGCCAACTCATCTCCCTGCCCCAACTCGACTCTCGACTCGAGGCCAGGCGCATCCTCGTCCTCCGCCCCCGTGGACTCGCGGAGGGCGGACAGCGCCTGGAACTTGGGGCTCGCGCGGATCAGCGACAGCATATTCTGGGGCGGCCTCGGAGAACTCCAGGGGGGGGGGATGGGGGGGGATGGGGGGGTCAGGGGGTGGGGGGCAGGTGGGAAGGGGGGTGGCAGGGGGCAGGTGGGAAGGGGGGGGGCAGGGGGGGGGGGGGAACATGTTTGAACCGGGCCTTTCCCCTCAGATCTTGGCGCCAGGGGCAGCAAGTGCTACAAGGACATTTCTGATCTTGAGTTTTGTTGAAGCTCAAAAGCTGACCCGAGGACAGATCGGGCAAAGTTGACGCATCAATCAACCTCTGGTCCGCCAAAAGACCTGCTTGCAGGCGTGACTCGCTGCATGTCTTTATTGAACAAAATCACTGGCGCTGGTACATGTTTTTGAAGCAAAGCAACGAGTGGAATCTATCGATGTTCAACCAAACTGACCTTAAAGCAACATAAGCACAACATTGGTTGGGCGCAACGCTCACTGCATGGCACTTTTGCAGTGGCCACTTGCCACGCCAAGCCGTGGCAAACAGTGAAAGATAGCCTTCAAAATGGGACGCTTCGCTGCTAATCAAATTGGCTTTCCCTACTCCTGGAATCATCGTTATAAGAACAACATTGCCGGCAGCCGCTGTGCGGAGGCCCATGCAACCGCGCCAACCCGCTGCACTCTCACCTGGCGCCCTCATCTCCTTCGCCCAGCGCTGAGCCGACTGTCCTTTGGCACCGCTCCTCCAGATCCGCGTGCTCTTTGCGAAGCTCCTCAAATGTGGCCCGGAACCCCTGCGCCACTAGGGCCTCCAGGTCTGCCGCCTCAAAGGCAGCCACAGACTCCTCCCGCATAGTCACGACTTCCCGTGCTGCTTGGAGCATGGCCTGGTACTCGAGCTCCGCGAGGGCGTGTGTCCTTCTCATCGCAAGCTCATAGATCTCGGTGAATCGCTTCTCCACGTAGGCGCGATTTACCCAATCGTAAGACTGCCTGATTGCGGCTGCCGCGCGTGAGACACGCGCAAATCTCAGGGCCGCCAAAGCCAATGTGAAAGGCAGCGAAAGTGCCCATACAGAAGCAGAAGCTTCAGCAGAAACAGCGAACACGAACTCTAATGTGGATGTGGGCCCTACTATATAAGGTCTAAAAATGTGCGGCCGATCTGATCTCATTCCACTGATGAGGAGTGCGCAGTTGGCTATCATGGGGTGAACATATCGACTGATTTCCGCAACAACCTCAAGCAGCTCAGTAGGGCTAACGTAAGTTCCCCAATGCGGCAACTCAAGCTTTAGCACAGCCTGCAAATACTGATCCCGTCTTTCTTCCAAAGTTCGCCGGATCTCTTCGGCCCGGCTCTCAACGAAGCTTGCCCGGCCGTCTTCAAGTAGTGTCAAGCGCGCCCTGGCTGCCTCCAACTCCTCCTGGAGCCTCTGCCGATCTGCGGCCTGCTGCCTCGCCTCGCTCAGCCGCGATTGAAGCAACCACATGCAATGGCCGAGGATGCCCAGGTTGGCCTGCAAACGGCCGCGCTTACGGCGCACCAGCTCGAGCTTCAGCTTGGACTGCACCTGCTCCCACTCAAGTAGGGCTGGCGGACGCCCTTTCTTCCGGTCCTTCATGGACACACGCCAGACGCGGGGCTCAGCGCAGTAGTTACTCACATCTTGCTCAATGTCTGAGATCAGGTCATCGTACTCTGGGTGCTCTTCCTCCGCCTCGCTGCCCTCATCGCAGTCGCACTTGTTGGCCAAAAGCCGGAGGCCCTGAAACCAGGGCCGGGGCATCCCAGAAGCTTCAACGGCTTGAACTTTGGGCGCACTCTCAAAGGTTTAAACCAGAGGGCGTGTTGTTTGAAACGGGACCGCTTTGCAAGCAGGGGCGCTCCGCAAAAAAAAAAAGCAAGTGCCTCTGCTGCGCAGTGGTAAACAAGCAGCCACAGGGCTTCCCAGCTACTGCATTGCTTCACCGACCATGCGCCAAAAATAAGGGCGGGCCTGAACAGGCCAGAGATCTTTTGAAGCACCTGGCGCCTGAAGGCCGGAAAGGCCCACAAAGGCACACGGAGTATCTAGCAGCAAACCAAGCTGGAAGAAACGGACAGTTTTGTAGGAGGCCAGCGGACCGGAACGGCAGCAGCTTGGAGGCACAGAAATCGGCTTAGGAAAGCCGGGCGCCCAAACGAGCATACAAAACATCTCCCAGCGAACCAAGTTGGGAGACAAATGAATCGTCTTAGAGGCCAGTTTGCCCGCCGAGACGCGCAGGGTATTTCGCAATAAGCCAAGCTCATGTTGAACGCCGGCCTACTGTCAGAGGCGTGCAGCGCATCCAGCAGCTAAGCAAAGCATCTGGCAGCGCTCCGTAGAGATCAATCAAGAACCCCTACATCACGCTGCTTGGGGAAAAGCATGCAAATATTGGCTGACAGCCTCATGTGTTGAGAACACACAAACACAAAACGCGCTTGGCCCAGCCTTGCCTGACACTGTAGGCCCCCACGGGGACTTCATCAGCTCAACAAAGAAGTCTCGATCTGCATTGTTTATCTTGCTGTTCACATCGAGCGATCCGCCATGTACCTCGCGCCCACGTCACAAAAAAAAGCGGGCACCCTTGTTTCTGCTGGTTGGTTAAGGGAAGGTCTTCCAACAAAAATCGGAAGAAGAAAAAGCCGCGGCTGTGCAACTGGAGCACTTTTGAAGCACCTCCATGTACTCTTTCTCCTGGTCCAAGCCGGGCAAATCAACGAGGATCACCCCACCCTTCAGCAGCTCGCTCGGGGCTCAGGCCCGCAAAGATTTGCTCAGGAGCGCCTGGAACTCTTCTTTCTCAGAGGTGGCGCTTCTGCGTACCGCTTCTTTGGGGATCCGCCCACGCTCGCACTGGATCCTGCTGTTCTCAACCATGTACTCTTCTTTCTCTCCGTAGTGTGTCTCACAAATGCAGGACGTCATGGTGCACTTCGCGGTTGGCCAAAATACATTGGTGCCCAACAATGCGTTCGCGACAGTGCTCTTACCAACATTGCCCCTGCCGGCCACCACCAGCCTGTTTGCCTCGGCGCACGAGGCGGTCACTGTTGACAACATCGGAAGCAGCTGCAAAGTGTCCGGCACTCCGCACTTCTCGTACCATTCAGCCAAAGTGGTCGACAGCGTTTGGGCAAAGACCCGCACGTGATCCAGTTGGCTTGCCACCTCCGCCAAAGTGGTCGGCAGCCCCTGGTCAGAGACCTGCACGTGATCCAGTTGGCTTGCCGCCCCCGTGGCACATGGCTCCTCTTGGACCCACTCCCACTCTTGGTTAGCTGCAGTGACCTGAGCCGTGGGAAAAATAAGTCCATTTGTGTGGGACATTCAGAGAGTACACGAATTGATGTATATTATATATTGTTTGTGCCAAAATAGGGGGACACCCAACAATACTGGCTTTCTGCGTGATTTACCTTCAAACCAAGGTGGAGAGGGTGCCCTCAAAGAAAACACCGACCCATGTTTCGACCGAACCTCACCTCCACGGATGATACTGTTGTTCCACTTGAAAAGGACGACACTCCGCCGGCATCCCCGCCGGCGCCAGCATCCGCCATGGCAACTAGAGATCTGGTTCTCGAGAAACGGAGCGATCGGCCCAAAATTGGCACCTGACATGGACCGCAACACCTTCGTGAGACCCCTTGTGGATGTTAAGGAAGCCTTGACTGGATGCGAGCTAACGGTTATGGATGAGCCAGCTGATGTAAAACGCAAACAGGTCCGTCTACCTGGAGCTGAGCAGATCTCTGTCCTGTCCGCTCGGGCCACAGCAGAGCGAGTGCCGGAGAATCGCCCTTCTTTGCCCGGAGACTGGCCGCCAAAACCCAGGCAACGCAACGGTATCAATCGTGGAACACGCGTTGAAGGCCTTTTCTGCCAGCAAGGGGCTTGCAACCCGAAGCAGATGAAGGGCGTTCGAAAACTGCTCCAAGTGAGTTGTTCTGGCTGAAACAAGAAGTCCCGAGCTGGTGAAATACGCCACCCCCAAATCAAAACACAGGGCCCGGCATTTGATGGCATGCCGGCATGCTTGCACCAAACATTGCTGTAGCCACCTTCTTTCTCCCGAACAATTCGGGGGCCCCAGAGCAACCCAGATCGGCCTTTGTCAACAAAACCGACATTCTTGGAACCTGCTTCATGTTCTGGGAATCGTAGAATAAGCCCCCCACCACCACCACCACCACCACCACCACCCACCACCACCACCACCACCACTGACAAGCATGGTTCCGTGACAGGCCCATGTTGGATAACTACTGCTTCGCAGGAGGCTCCGCCCGCGCAGCAAACCATGTTTGGAGGGAGGGTGCATTGATGTCAGTCTTGGGGTTACGAAAAAGAAACATGATGTCAACACGTGGGTCCAGAACCCTAAGAAACTGCTCAACATCTTAACCCAAACCCGGGCATCCATTCCCCGGCGTCTTCTTTCTACAATTCCTACGCAAGAGGCGGGCCAGTCTTGCATGTCTTTCAATTATGTCTTGTTATAGATGTAAAAAATACAGGATACAGGTGTATTTACACACACAAATATCACACATCTAGGGTGTCCAACTTGGAAAGGGCAAAGTTTCATCCCCCTGGTTCTTATACCAAACCAAAAAGAAAACGCTCCAGCGACTCCGCGGATCCACAGCTACTCCCCTCGCCTGGTGGTCTCCACCTCCGGCTTCCGGTCCTTGGCCTTCTTCAGCTGCACCCCGGCCTTCCGAGAAACAGGAGCGAGCGCGGCTCGCCCTACCGTCGATCGGAGCGGAGCGGTGCGGAAAAGCGAGCGAGCGCGCGAGGCGGCGGTTTTGGGCTCCGAGCCAGGGCGGGGGGGGGGGGGGGTTCACCAGGCTCCGGTTCGGCTTCTTGTTTGATTTTTTGGTGTGTGTGTGTGTGTGTGTGTGTGTGTGTGTGTGTGTGTGTGTGTGTGTGTGTGTGTGTGTGTGTGTGTGTGTGTGTGTGTGTGTGTGTGTGTGTGTGTGTGTGTGTGTGTGTGTGTGTGTGTGTGTGTGTGTGTGTGTGTGTGGGTGTGGGTGTGGGTGTGGGTGTGGGTGTGGGTGTGGGTGTGGGTGTGGGGGTGTGTGGGTGTGTGGGTGTGTGGGTGTGTGGGTGTGTG